TGGCAACCTGCTTCACCAATACGTTCTGATAATGCTGTGGTTCCTGGCCGCCTTGGTTGCTAGCAGCAGTACCAAGGGGTTAATCTGCTAAAGGCAGCATCCTTCCCTGCAAGCTGGGATGACTGCTAGAGACACCCTGGCACTCTGTGAGCGTTGCTAGAGGTCTCCAGCACCTGCTACCTTACATCAAAGCAAGACATTCAAGTGATCATCCGCAATGAAGGTGGCCCTGGGTATAGGCCAGGTACTTCACTGCTGTGGTTCAGCGGATATGTAGCACTGCGAGGAGAGCAGCACCTGCCTCCTGTCCCGTCCCTGTGGTGTGCACCCGCGCACTTGCATTCTACGGGTTAAACCCTGAAACTACTGACTTTCTAAATTATGAGCAAGAGTTTTCTGATCTTGTTCTCCACTCTTGCAATCAACTTTCTAAAGCATTGATGGCAACGTGCACTGCAGGGAAAACTGAACCAGAAACTCCTACGCTGGCCTGTGTCTTCACGTAGATGCTCAGGTTGTGATTTGCATGGCGGAGGTTGGTGGCAGTCATGTGAGCAGCTGCACCAGAGCACCCTGAAAACACCTGATGCCCCCTGCTCCCAGGGGCATATCCCTGCTGAAAGGGCAGTTTTGCTCCCGAATACAAGAAGGGACAGGGAAACAGTGTGGGGGTTTCCCCCGATGGGTCCTCTGCCCGGACCATGCTGTTCAGTTAGAAAGTTAAAGAGAAAAAAAGATGAGTTTTCATACACCCACCTGCACAAACTCATCCCAGGAGTCAGGCAGAGTTCGCTCCCTCCCACGCACAGTTGCTGCTGTGCAGACTTGGCCCTGGAGCCCCTCACCCCTGTCCCCTCCATGCTACTGGATGGAGAAACCACCATAAACTCGCTTTAACTGCTTTGAGCAGCACCTGCCAGGAGGTTGATGGGCGGTCTTTCTGGGGCACATCCCGGGGGCACACTGGCACAGGGCTTGTTTCCACAGGTGTGCTGAAGTGTGGCTGTTCTCAGCCTACACCCAGCCAGGCCCACACTCACCCCTGGCTGGGGCAGCGCCACCAGGGACCCATGGGCTGTGCTGTGGTGGGTCTCTCCTCCCTGCCCAGCCCATGACATTGCTGGGCGGGAAAGGCCTATGGCTCCTACTGCCTTGCTGGCAACCAGGTTAGTGCCATGTGGTGCTTCTCCTCCTCCCTCTGCCTCTCCTGCTCTTCACCTCCCAACACATTTTTTTTGCAACAACACCATTACTACCATTAAATTATGGGGTTGCCAACGATTTGTCATGAGGCATGGCGGGGGATGGTAAGCATGTCAGGGTGGTTGCTGTGGGTCAGAGCAAGAGGCTCAGTGCCCCTTCCCCAGCACTGCCCATCCAACAGGAGGATTGGGGAGCACTTGGCTGGCAAGGTCCTTCACGAGGTCCCTTGAGCTAAAGCCCCTGTATCACCAGCAACAAACTGTCGCCTCTGCAGCTGGCGTCTCAACCTCTTGCTGCAAGGTACTGCAAAAGGAGCTGGACGCTGGACGGGAGCCATCCTGCTGTGCTGGCAGGGCAGATGGGGTTAAAAAACAGAGAAGTGGCTGTCTGTGTGTGGGGTGGGTGGAAAGCATGGGAGTAACTCATTCAATATGCCAAAAGGTGTGTGCTCAAGTTAGTGTCATCACCCAACTAGGGCCAGTTTGTTTTATAGGATAAAATATACAAGAAGCTTACGGTAAAAAAAGAATAAAAAGAAGAGATTGCCAGGAGGATGAGAGCAGTGGGCTGGATCAGCTCGGCCCAGGCAGGAGGCCTGGAAAGGGACCAGGGAGGCAGGGAAGATCCATGAGGAGTTTCCTGCAAAGAAACCATTCAAGAAATTGGGCAGAGGCAGTATGCATGTGACGCCTGTGCGGCTCTGCTTGGGTGGAGGGGGAGCCATCGTCTGGGAAAGCAGCCCAGCCCGGAGATTTGGAAGGGGGCGAGGGGGAAAGAAGGTGCCGTTTGGATCAACCTGACCCAAAATAATATGTGGTTTGTATTTTCTAAGCAGAAAATTTAAAAACCCCAAAAAAGTAGAGCAAAAGATTTCATGTTGGAGGAAAAGTCATTTTTCCTATTAAAAACCAAAACAAACCGGACCAGAAAATCCCCAAAACTTGCAGTTAAAAAATTCCTGCCAAGCACTGAAATATTTTCTAGTGAGGCCCAGAGGTGTCTGCTCTCCCTCAATACCATGAACCTGGTGTCACTGGAATGTCCCCCAGATGGATGGGAACAACATTGCATTGAATTTTGGGACCCCCTGCCCTGGGTGTTCGTGGAGATTTAACACTTCAGAATCAGGTTTGTAAATGTCACCAGTGCAGGGCCTAAAACACGTCTAAAAATGCAGGCTCTGTTCTCCTGGGACCTCCCAGTGTGGCAGACAAGCAATCTCTCAGTCACCAAGTCCCTGTGCCCCCATCCTGACCAGCCTGATGGCCGGTGGGTGAGGCATGGTCCTGGAGCTGGCAGAAACTTCCGTGGGGAAGCCAAGAGAGTGATGCCAGTGGAAGCAAACCCATGCCCAATTTGGGCACCAAGGGCTTGCTTAGAAACACCTTCCGCATCATGGGTATGTGGTGGCTCCAGTGGCATGTCCAGGGCACCCCCCAGCTGGGCAGGGGGAGCGATGGCCAAGGGAGATGACTAAAACATCCACGCACAGTACACAACTGCCTGTCTGGGCAGCTACTCCCACTGGAGCAGCTATGGACCAGTGAAGTCAATTCAGTGAATAGGGCTGAGAGTAAGCCCTGGGCTGGGACAGCTCTGCCACTGATACTCACTGTCAGTGTTTTCTCTATGTTATTTGCAACTCAAAAGCCCTCCATCAGTGACACTGGAAACAGGCTGGATACAGGAGCTGAGGGTGTGAAACTAATTCACAAGAGGTGCTGGAAAATGATGCTGACGGCATTTTTGGAAACTTTCTCTGAGCTGAAAAAAAAAAGGGATTTCCTAAAACAACTGAAAATGAATTTGCCACATCTGCAAAGAGTGGCTTGTGGGTTGCCTGTCCCTTAAAGTAGCTAAGGAAGCTCTACAGTCAGCAATTTTTCAGTTTAAATGACAAAAGCTAATGTGCCCATAGACTCTGGTGAGTGTCAGGCATACTACCAGTTGCCTTAAATTCTGAAAATGCAACCATTTGAATTGTTAAAGCTCCACGAGTTTGCACAGTCCAAAAATACAGTCTCTTTGGCCAAAAAAAAGCTGGTTTTGGAATCAAGAACAGCTTGTAATTAAAGCCAACAGTATGAGAATCTGTAACTGATCTGCTCTGAACAAATTATTTGGCTACCTGAAGAGAATCAAAACCTTTTTATTTTTTTGGAAAGAGATTCAAGGAAGAAAAACATTAACTTGCTGAGAAAGAGGAAACAATACGGGCAAATTAAAACAGGTAAATGCTTGACCTCCGTTTTGGGCAAAGGTGAAGGTGGGACTCGCTTTAGTTTGATTAACAATCCAATCACTGTTTATGACACAACATTAGACTATTTGTTTAAAAAAAGAGCTACAGAAACCAAGAAGATCTTATGCCATTGACCTTAACACTCCTCTGTAATATACTTGATGAGAGGGATTTTGTTTTATTTTTACTGAGACAAATTCAATAGATTTACAGTGATGAATGCAATAAAATTATACACATGGTGAAGGAAAGCTTAGCTTCAAGGCAGTACAGCTCTGTCCAAGAAACTTAACTCCTTGAAATTTGCCATTTTCAGCTGGAAAGGAAAAATCTCAAAGGCATGACTCCAGCAAGGCTATTTAGTCAAACAGTACCAGATGGATGTGTGGGATTCACCTTCTGCTTTGGTTATGAATGAAAGTATCAGCTAGGAGTTTTCTAAAGGCTATTTTTGCCTAAAGAAGTCTGGTCAAGATGTGGTTAATGTAGCTGTGCTTGGGACTGCTGTACTTTGAGGAGGGCTGTGTGGAAATGAGACGGAAAGGAAGCTTGAGGAAGCCAGGTAGCACAATGACCAAAGTATGTGGCTTGGATGATTTTGTGACCAGACATTTTGCTTTGGTACAAAATGATGCCATGGTCTCCAGGAGACATAGGGAATTTGTGACTGGGTTTTCAGTATTTTCCTTTTTCCAGGAACCTCACCAACACTATAGCTCACGCTGTCCACATGAGGAGTAAATATCAGCATTTCCACCCTCAAGACAGGGAAGCAGAGAAAGAGCATTTTGACTGACCTTTAAAGAGGTGGGCCATATCTGGGTTTTAATGGGCTTGGAGCATCTGCCTCTCCTTAAATTGCAGTGGATTCAGTAGCAGCCCCAGGGAAGCCAGCTGGGACAGAGTGAGCAGGGTGTGTCACCCTATACTCACAGGAAGACAAACCTGAGGCAGAGAAAGGTCTTCATGCAACAATGGCTTTTGTGTATTTGTGTCTCCTTGAGGAATTTCTGAAACATGTTTAAATGCTTACCTAAATCTGGACCACTGCGGTAGCCATGCTGTTGTGCTTATACACTTCCTAACTTGCCTTTGGTATAGAAAAATTGAAGCCATCCCCTTCTGCCAGTCTGTAGGCAGCCCTCCCCTTACCGGGCTATGAAAGCCTCCAGCCTAGCAAAAATGTCTCTTGTATCTATCACACTGAAGACGACAGACCTACAGACTACCCTTAGCCAGAAATAGTGCCAGGGAGAGCAAAAGAAACTCTTGTCCAAGCAATATATACAGATGCAAGTACTTTGTTGCACGATTAATAAGATAGTTTGTTTCACCACTTAAAATTCATCCAGAGGGCTCTTTTTAATAGTCAGAATCACACCCGGCAAAAGTCTTTTTGAACATACCTATTAAGGACTGCACTCTGAGTTCAGAGTGTTGTGACTTTTTGGTTTTGATTTGTTTTCAAAAAGGTTTCTTGAAAACCATTTTCATAAACTGACAGCAACAACCATAACACACGTACAAAAACAAGATAGTAGTCTCATACGGGAAATATTTCTGCTTTCATTTTTATTTTATGAATACATATACAAGAGATGCATAATCTTCCATTATCCAGGCTTAAAAGTAACAGGTTGTTTGTTTGTTTGTTTGTTTTTTCCAAAATAGCTCAAAGAGGAAAATAAAAGTAAGGATGAAGGAGGTGCAAGATATCCGAACCATACAGTTGAAACCCTTATCAAAATTATTTCTGAAATGTGAACATGTGGAGGATGTATCTGTGTGTGTGTATGTGTGTGTATTGTCCTGTATCGTAAAAGCCTCACCCAAGGTATTTATGTATATGAATAAAAAAATGCTTTGGCATAACCAGAGAGTCCTCCATTCACACTTGTTGACATTTCTGAAATACTGAGAGAATAAAATCTGAGAATTATATATAATTTTATCTCCTTGGCAGCAATGTCTTTAAATGCAGGGGGGAGAGGGGGGTGAATGAAGAAGAGTCTGTTGACAAGAGACTTTACTTCCATACTAAGATGGTTATATTAGCAAGATGCAGCAGGATGCAAACAGTTTCAAATAGAAGAGATGGAGATATATATTTATATATACGTATATAATGTAAAAATGCTTATTTTCTATGAGAAAGGAAGATTTGTCAAGATAACATAAAATGAACCACTCTAAGACTAGCTTCCAGCAAAACATTTTGCTTTATTGGATCTATTTTCTAGCTACAAGTCAAGCTGACATCTGTCAAGCTTTTAAACTTTTCATATGGCAGTCTATAAGAAATGTTTCATGCAACGTCTACAATGCTAAATACAGGGTAAATAACTGGGATTAAACAGGTGAGGAATAACAGACTATTATAAGGACCAATAACAGCATATTATGTACATATAGCCATATTATATTCTCATGTCTTCACAGTAATGTGCAAATGTGACAAATATGGCTTTCATTTTTTTCTAAAGAAAGTAAGACATAATTATACAGAATAATGTTTTAAAACGCTTAGGAGGATTTCACCTTTTTGTGAAACCTGTTCAATCATCATTGCATTAGGGTTAAGGAGCCACCCCAACACGGAGGTGTAGTTCAGGTGTATTTCCAGAAGGGGGCACAGATTCCTAAGGCACAATATTAATGTTAAACATTTTTAATTTAAGTCATGCTATTTTATTCTAGTTTTGTTTTTATTTTTTGGTTATATGAAATAATAGGTTGTTGCTAGTTATATAATAAGCGGTTGATTGTAAAAAATACAATGTTAAAGGCTACACTACATGCCTACCTGTAGCTCCAGAAACATTAGCTATTCTGAAAACACACTATACAGCGCTGCATATTAAACCTTTGTGGTTTTTTGGTAATATTCTTTTTCATACATGTAGCAGAGAGTTATAAGGCTTCTGCGGAATAATAACATTATAACTGAACAAATATTTTACACTCTTCCATAATGGTATTTACAGTTACTATAACTCATATTTTGTCATTTGGTAAATAACATGTATCTTGTATGCATCCTTCTTGCCTATCTAAAGTGCTTGCTTAACTGCATGAGGAAAGAAAATGCATACCTGCTTTAGGTGCAACAAACCCTCAAAAGAAGTAGCTGAAATATCTGTTGTGGATCTGAAATGCATTCTCAGAAATTGAAATTATTGCTAAATTCAGTGCCCTCACTAGGCAATCATCTATATTATTTGTCATATATAAATATATGCATATATACTAGTATGTATGTACATGCATACACATTCATCTATCGTGTAAAAGATAGATTTCGATTTTTTGTCCATCAACCTTTTTATTTTGTGCTATTCAACTCACTTGTGCTATGACTGAAGCCAGATTAAAATCAAAATCTTAACATGCTACTACTAACAACCCTATGATTCATTAGCACGTAATAAAGACAATATGCAAAAGAAAGCTGAGATGATGACAAATCAGGAGGCTTTTGAAATGCACTGAGAATAAGGCAATAGGCTGTACATTACAGCGGAGGAAAAGCTGAAGACATTCTGGAATTTACAAACGCATCTTACTGGAGTAGGGATTGCTCTCCCTACTTCGCTGCAGAGTCCTATGCTTTTTTCCAATATCACTCTCCAGAATGCAAGCTCTACAGTTTCTGCACCTACCAACACTTTTAATGGTAGCAAATTCAAAGCTTATTAAAAATGCCCTGATGCCACAACCTGGTAAAATAAGGCACTTCCAGGGCTGTATTCCAGCGGTGCCATGCCAAAAATGATCAGCACTGGGAAGAAGTACTCAGATTTTGCCGAGTTTCCTAGTTTTGTCCCATGAAATGCGCCGTCTTGGAGTGTACTCCCTCCTCTTTCCTTTGAGATGATTTTCTTTAAAGAAGCTGTTTCATCAGTTGAAGTTGAGGAGCTACTTCTTCATAAGCAAGAGGTAAATCTTCAGTTCAGTAAGGTGGAAGATCAGACTGGTACCAGGCAACGTCTTCAGTTTATTCGGTATCTCTCTACTCGAGCTGACACTCCAGCTAAGTCCAAAGTGTGTGTGGATTTCATAGTAGGCCCGTATTGAAAGCTATGAATGGACATTGGTACTGGAAAGGTCATTCCTTATAATTTCATTTACTGCAAAGAAAGAAGACAAGAGAAAAGGAATCGATTAGAGTCCCATGCTGCAGGCAGGTCTCTTCACTACACAGCCCCCCCAAACTTGCATCCGCTCCTTGACAGCTTCGGTACAGCTCTGAACAGTAAGCGTAACATCATGAGATAGCTTGTACAGGCTGATCACAGTGCAAAAGAGCAGGATTAACCAAGGTTATTAACATGCTAATTACCATGTAAAACCAGGCATCATAAAAACAGTAGCATCCTGGATCCTTGATCGCATCAAACATATTTAACATTTCAAATCAGTTACAGATAAAACATTTCATTTGGTCTAGATTGGCTTGGAAATGCAAAGCAAAGAGAACCACAGGAAATCTTAGAATAATCTACCCCTGCCATAAAAAGAGATGTTTGGAAAGTATGTTAGCCATGGCAGAAAGCTGCCAGCCACTGAACCTGGGTACGTGCAGCTGCAATACCTAGATAGAATACGACTTCACGTGCTGATTTTTTCCACTGTGGGATGATATTAGGAGAAAAAGAAGAAACTGCTGCGTGCTTGCCCATTCCCTGGAGCTGGTAACTCATGTAAATACATACTCTCCTTTTGTGGTGACCAACACACATGGACATGCAGTCTTTGCTCCTATCTGTACAGACAGATGGGAGGGACGAGCAAGTTAAAACCCTTGGCAAGAGTCAGAGGAAAGAAAAAACAAGGTCCGCTATCTCAGCATCAGCCAGTCAGGCTGCATCTCCACTGATAAAGTGTTGTTTTCTTTATTCACAAGCCTTCTTTCATTCTTTTCCCCCTCCCCTGCAGATCATCAAGCAATACAGTTTCCCACACTCCAATTATGTCCATTTATCAGCTTGTGATTTTTGGCAGATGGACAGGAAATGACTGAACCTGGCAAAGGCCATCTACAGTGGACTACACAACATCCCTTTTATTTCCACCCCACCTCCCTGCAGTGACTGCCACCACCTGATTTACATGAAGATAAAATGCCATCAGTAGGGCTATCACCACTTCTGAGTTTCCCTAACATTGCTGGGAGTGGGAAACACGTGCCCACGTCATGGAAGCACCACGGAAAAGCCGTCTAAAACCAACTTCCTGAAGCAAGTAGTGTTTTGGGGGTTTGGGTGTTGTTTTTTTTTTTTTTTCTGCAGACCTATTGCCCATTTAGTAATTGTAGCACATGAATCAGTCAGGATTTGTGTCACAGGTCCTGGCCACCAAAACCACTTCTACCAATGGATACGCACACCATACTTCAGAAAGGAAATATCAGTTGCATTTGTAACTACCTATTTATGGCAGCAAACTAAGAGCGGTATGGAAATGAGATGTGAAGACAAAGCAGTTCTTTCTCGGAGTACCACAGAGTACATCTTTAATATTGCCAAACAGCGGAAACAAATTCAAGCAGCAAGCCCTGGTCTGTGGCAAAGACTGTCCTGCATGCATCCAAACACAGCAAGAAGTGCTACCTCACTTATACATTGCAAGACCCAGCACAGCTTTTGAGACCGAGTCTCCGTCTTGAATGCAAGCAGCACACTTCTTCTGTGGTATGATTATTCCATGATGCTTTTGTAAAGATAGTTGCTTTGATAAACTTCTCAAAGCAACACTGGGTATGAAGCAAAAACACACAGTGATATCTTGGAGTGTGACAATGAAAACAAATCCTCATGTGGGCCAGACAGTGTCATAGTTTTACTGACTTTCCCTCAAAATTGCTGTTACATCAAACAAAATTAAGATGCTAATCAAGGCAGACCTCGGTCTCTGTGGTTAGCTAGTGCTTAAAAACATTAAATAATGAATCTTCACACCGTTTTTGAAAAAGGGTGAACATAAGCATCACTGGTGCTTCACAGATTTTGACAGGGAAGTGGAAAAGCAAAAGAGCTCCCCAGCTCAGTCAGGACTAACACTCAGGTATCGCGAATCTCAGACTACTGCCACAGCACACACTGAGGTACTCCTGATTGATTCATTCAGTAAAACTTTCAAAAGTAACATCCTCCAGCCCACCAGAAAATGCTTTCCCCTGTTAAAGCATTTAGTAAAACTAGCAACTTGATGATATGAGGGTCTAAGAGCCAAAGGTCCGTCTCCAAAACTGGCTTAGGCACTCAGAGGCTGCCCTTTCCAGCTGTGCTAGGTACCCTCAGCTGAATCCTCTGCCAAGTGCTGTAGGACACATGTCTTACCCTAGAGATTACATGACTCTTCCTTTCAGCTTGGAGTTCACCTGCCTTGGCTCAGCCCAGGAGACCACCACGGTCCTTCAGTCACACTCTCTCCAGCTCTCAGCAGCCAAACCAATCTGCCTCCATCTGGAATCACGTGTAATTTTGTTATCAACTCCAACAGGATACTGATTAGACCTTTGACGTTATTGTTCATTTTTGTTATATATTACTTGCTTAACAGAGGTGGACTTTGATGAGTAGCAGTCAAGTCTGGTATCCTCATGTAACAACATATGACACCTCTTCAACAACACTCACTAGACAATGTCAGTGTGGACCGAGGAGTCAACTGAACCTCAACCAAGGTGCACCAATCGCCACTGGATCTTACAATCAAATGGGGCCAAATGGGATGTTCAACAACTCTCTCACCCATGGTGGCCCACAGACAGCACAGCTCAGACATAGACCTCTTTATTTCACTGTTGCTTGTTCCCCTTTAGCCACTGCAGTGTTGAAAATGCAAAAATTCCCAATAACGCAATGGAAAAAACCTATAGAGAGGGACAAGAGTACATGCAGAAGGCCCAGGTGGGGCAATACATGATCTGGCAAAGCAGCCGATCTTGTAGAGGCAGATCGCTAGCAGAAAGCACTAAACACGAGAGCTGAAAGGGGAAGTGTGCTGAGAGCGGGCTTTCCCGCGCTGCCCGCTGAGGCACCTGAGGCTGGAAGGAAAACCCTCTGGTGGGTGCAAATGGGGGGAAAACCAGGTGGCAAGCACATGTGAAGTGCACTGGGTGATGCTTGCTGGGTTTGGCTAGATGGATGCTCCCCGCCACCTCTAGCTGCATGGTCTAGCACTACCATGAAGACAATACTCTCTCCCTCCAGGTCTGAGAAGCTGAGGGAAAACTTGGGAAAATACAGTTTTAGGTCAGCCAAAATAACATGAAAATATGGATTACATTTCTCAAATAGTTTCAAATGTCTTTAGCATCAACATTTTTTATTTCAAATTTCTGGAAAATTTGCTTCCTTTAATGCTCAAAAATATATTCACATTTTTGTTGCATGTTAGGAAATGTTTCATTTTGGATCAAATGGAATGTTTTGGAATGTTTTGTTTGGCCCAGAACTGATTTTTAATTATTTTGGCAAGAAAACATCAAATATTCTTGTTGTAGGCTGACCCAAAACTGACCTTCCCAACAGCAAATCAGAAATTCTTTTACTTAAGTATGGGCCTGCTGAAGCATCCTGTATGTCCATCTGTACCAGTGCCACATCTACCACGATGGACAGTAGCCAATTCTTTGGGAAAGAACATCGGAACCAAAGCACACCTCCAGTGATGTTTTCTCTAGTACACCTTTACTCTGATGGAGGGCTTCGTGAGCAAGAGGAGGTCTGCATCCTCATTTCTAGTGAACTTTGATGAACTTTCTTCCATGATAATTTCTAATAACCTTCTGAACCTGTTTTGGCTTTCATAGTTTCCTGCAGCAACTGGTTCCACAGTTTAAGTGAAAAAAGTACTTACTTTCTGTTTTAAATTTGTTTCTTGATACTTTCATTCATGTGTCGTGTGAACGAGCTGATTGTTCCCTGTTCACCATCTCCTTTACCACCCATCACACTCCTTCCTCTTAGTAACCTCAGGGCTCCACTTGGTCCTGTAGGACCATTGCAGAACTCTCCAGAGAAGTAGGATATATTGCGTGTGCAGAGAAAATTGGTATTTTTCTCTTAGTTCCCACCTTTCTAACAAAATATTTATTATATACTTGAGGAGAGTCAGCTGGTTCCTGTCTTGAATGCTCAAGTTTTGGCTTACAAATATGTTACTACAAGAGGATTGTGTGTGCTCCACAGAACAGCAGTATTCAGTGCAAGCAGTATTTTGGCCTGCATTTGAGTTTCATTCCTAAAGCAAATGCTCGTCTTTGATTCCACTGCTGCTTGGATACGTGTCCATTCACGTCTGTAGTACCATTCCAGGAGCAGTTGTGTTTTGAATGAGCACATTTTTCAAAGAAAGGTTGAAAAGGCTTTACACTCATTTTAAAAACAAAATAACCTGAGTACTCAAAAAGATCCATTTCATAGACAGAACAGATGAGACCCGAAGAATCACCTGGCTTACTGGAGGCCCTACATACAGTTTAGCAGCAGATCTGGAATGGCATGCAAGATGTTTAATTTTCAATGCCTAGATTAGCACAACACTTCCCTTAAAGCAACAGGTTGATCCCTATCAGATCAAACAGCTGAGTACAATGATTTACAGCACCTTTGTCATCAGATTTTGTTCACTTTCTGCTGGCTTTGAGGAGGGGGGCCACTGTATTGCTAACACCTACAGTTCCCCACAATGCCTTCCCTCAACTGGTATTTTCCATTGTCACGTTCAGCTTTTCCACTGACAGAAAGTCAAATAAATAATAATGCTGAGAAATGCAGGTAACACGTGACCTCTCTACCTGTCAAGGCGTCTGAAAGAGGAACCTTTCCTTTGCTAAACAGCAGATGCCACAGTAGCAGGATGTGGTAAACTGTTACACCACATTTTAGTTTAATTAGGAGTTTTTTCTTCTTGTATTTAATTTTGCTTTAAAATGCCCTTGCAATGGAAATTTTTGCTTTACTAATTAGCAAAATCAGTGTCTTACCGATGCAACAGTTTGGGTTCCTGTAGAGAACAGGACAACCAGATATTTCTGAACAAGTGCGGGTTCCATATATAGATGTGAACTTCATAGGAAATTGAGTATTTTTAACATTTGGTGGCTGTACATGGATTCCAT